CCATTTTAATTAATTATTGACACATTTAATTAATTATTTAATGGTGTATTTAATTAATTCATTATGGCAGTCCTGGCGTTCCATAGTAAATATGGGACCATTTGTTACAACTTCTCTGCTGTAGCTTTTCTACCTGCCGCTGACATTATTTTCCTTTACTCTCCCAAAGGTTTTATTTTGAAATGATTTCCATCCTTATTAATGTAATTCATTGGACTGTGGCTAATTCACATGCCAATCCTCACTGGGGAACTAAATTAAATTAACATTTGCTCTTTTTGTGAACTCTGCTTCCAATTTTCTTAATTTCTTTTTATTTATACCTCTTTACCTTTCACATTTTAAATAAAGGCTTTGATATTGTTATATTAATGAAAAGTCAGGACATAGAAAATGATAAATGCTTTGAGAAAATATTTATTAGACGCATGGACAGAAATGTCATGACTGTAGCAGGTGAGCAGAGAGCTTCCTCTTCCAATGATGTGTCATTAAAAGGGTATTTTCTTTCAGTTCAGCTCATCTGACTTTTGCCATTACCTCTTTCTTCCTGAATATACCTGTGTGTTTGTGTTTGTGTTTGCGTGCAATGGCTTGAATGGATGTTCAAGGCTGTGGCAGCCGTCTAATGGGTTTATATTTACCTGCCTGCCTCCAAACGCAGCTCAATCAGTCCATTAGAAAAACAAAATGAATAGCTCCTTGCACAAGTGACCATCTGAATCACCTGAAGTAGAATTCCCTATAGCTCCGGAAGGCGTTCTAACAAAAAATAGGATAAAAAAAAATATATGAGCTACAAATGTAAAGTCCTCATTTTCAATGTGAAATTTACAAAAAAATATCAGAAATACAAAATTATCACCAGCAGAATTTGGCCTATTTTCTATTTTCCATGCTTTATAAATGTAAAAAGTAAAAATTTAGTAAAACGTAAAAATTTTACCAAAACTATTTTAATAATAAATATAAGCATTGTAACGATGTGTGAGTTTCCAAATGACTGACAAAATATGACTATGTAGCTCTAAAGTGAGGCTCACTTAATTAGGTGTATCTGTTCAACTTCTCATTAATGCAAATATCTAATCAGCCAATCACATTTCAGCAATTGAATTTGTTTAGGCACGTAGACGTGGTCAAGAAAACGTGCTGAAGCTCAAATCAGAATGTAGAATAAAGGTGGTTTAAGCGATTTTGAATGTGGCATGGTTGTTGATCTGAATATTTTAGAAACTTGGATTTTCCCACACAACCATCTCTCAGGTTTACAGAGAACAATAAAGAGAAAATATCCAGTTCTGTGGGTGAAAATGGCTTGTTGATGTCAGAGGTCAGAGAAGAATGGCCAGACTGCTCCCAATTAATAGCAAGACAACAGTAACTCAAATAACCACTCGTTACTTGTAATTGTGCATAAGAGCATCTCTGAATGCATGTCAAACTTTGAAGCAGGTAGACTACACCAGGTGTCAGCTGAGGTCACAGTAGGCACAAGATCATAACAACTGGACAACAAAAATTGGAAAAATGTTGTCTGGTCTGATGAGTGTCGAGTTGTGCTGTGGCATTCAGATGGTAGAGTCAGAATTTGGTGTGAACATGAAAGCATAGATCAAGCCCGCCATCTATCAACAGTTCAGGCTGCTGGTGGTGTGATGGCATGGGGGTATTTTCTTCCTTCGAATTATTTTGTTTTTATTTTCTTTATTTTCTCAGTACCAACTGAGCATTGGTTATAAACCATGTTTCAAAATTCAAAGCTTAGGTTTGTTTAGAAGATGCTTCCTTTGAAGTTACAGTTTTTGTAGAAAAGTTTTAAGTGGATTTATATAACTTTACATCAGGGCTTCTATCTAACAGAAACCTCTTATAGAGGCTCCAAAAGGCCTCCAAAAAGATGTAGAGAAAGTAAAACATCCCCAGTCTACATATAATCAGTTTGGCTTCAAACC